GAGGACAGAGATCTTCACAGAGATGGAGACGGCAGGGCCCCGAGGGGCGGCCTGGGGGTGGAGCCCAGAGGGCAGGCGGCAGGTGCTGGAGGGTCTCTGCAGGGATGCAGACTCCTGGCATTTGAAAGGTCACTGACTAGAGGCTGAGCTCCTGCTAATTGGGAGAGACACCTGCCAATGCCCGCTGGGCGGGGGTGCCAGGCCCCTGGTCTAATGGGTGGGGGCCTGGTGGGAGGGTGCTTCCCTCATTGGCTGATCTGGTTCCTTAGGGCGGTGGTGGAGCCTTCGAGATAAATGTCAGCTGGGAGCCTTTGTGCTCAGGAGGCCTGGCCCCCCGCCGCCGCTCTCCCAAGTGCAGACAACAGGGCACCTGACAGGCAGGAGCAGGTGAGGCAGGGAGACCCCCGGCTGTGCCCACGCAGACACCACGAAGCAATCCCAGCTCCTTCCACCGAGTCCGGACTTGGCCTCAGCGTGTCCACGCCGCCCTGTGGCTGGAGCTCTTGCCACAAGACCCTGCCCCACGTTGGGTGAGAGCGTGGCCTCAGGAGCCAGATGGCCTGGGTTCGAGCCCCAGCTGTGGGGTCTGGGCAAGCCCCTTAACGGCTCTGTGCCTCAGTTTACAGGTCTGTGAAATGGGGGTGACGGTGCTACCGTGCCATGGGGTGTGGTGAGGACTGGATGAGTGACTACGCAGTAAGAGCCCCATGTGTCTGTCCTGATTCTGTGCTGTGGTTCCTGGCTTGATCACCAATCTTGCCAAATGGGACGGGGAACGTCTCCTCTTGCCCAGATGACAAGGACCCGCAGCTTAGAGTTTATTTCACAGCTGGTATCGTGCGTGGCTGGGTTCTGGGCCTTCTGAGCGGGAGTGTTGGGGGGACTCCTAGGTTTTGAAAGTTACAAACTCATCCTCCCTCTTTGACACTGAACCCTGAGCCTGGATGGCGGAGGCATCCAGACCCCGCCCTCACCCCCAGGCTCCGAGCACTCACAGCTCACAGTTAGTCCTTACTCTCTCCTGAGCTTGATGACGGGAGGGAAGTGAGGACAAGGGTGAGGGTCTCCCTCGCCCCAGCTTGTCCTTTAGCCCTACGTTGAGCCCACACAGAGCTGCTGGGAGCAGAGACGGGAGCTCCGGCGCCTTTAAAATGTAAGAACAACTTCGCTCTGGGCTCACGTAGGCAAGCTGTGCCCTGCACGAGAGCCACTGCCAAGGATTCGGGAGCCTCAGACCCAGCCCGCATCCGTCACAACCCTGTGCCCTGACGCTGGGCAAGGCCCTCACCCCAACCAGGAAAGGGCATCTCCTCCTAGTCCACCCACAGGTGCCAGGTGGGCTCGCTGGGTTTGAGGCAGCCTGGCCGGACGCCATGGGAGGGGGTATGCACGGGGGCTGGAGGCTGGGAGTGCCGTGGGCCTGCCGTTCTCCCTGACCTCCACTGCCGCCCACAGGCATGGCTCCTTTAAGAAGAGCAGGCTCATTGAGGGGGTGCTGGCTGCAGGGGTGGAGAGCAGAGTTCAGTTCTCTCAGCAGGTGTGCGGGGTGGGCGGAGCCGAGGGGGAAACTGAGGGCCGTTTCTCCTGGAGTCACAGGTCTGCGGTGAGCCCCTCCCTCAGCAGCCCCTCTGCCCCCAACTCAGAGAGCTTCCCTGCCAGATGCTGTGCCAGGGGGGCCGTGGGTGAGAGCAGAGGTAAGAGGGAGGGAGGGAGGTGGGCGGCAGGTGGCATGCCTCAGCTGTGGTGCCCCTTACAGAGCCCCACGCCCTCCACATCCCAGAGCCACAGGTCCCGGCCCCAGGGCGGGCAGGTGGGCGGCCAGCGCTGGGCCCAGGCCAGGCACCTCCTTTCCTCGTGGTTTGTCATCTTTAAGGCGGCATCTGTGGCACCGAGAGAACTCCGTGCCAACTGCTGGCAACCGTCACACATCAGCCCTTTCAAAGGTTTGGTCTGAAGCTTGCCGAGTGGATGGGGCACAGGGCGAGGGGTCTGTCCTCTCCCCAATCAGGATGCGGGTGCTGGCGCTGGAAGTAATTTAAATGGGGGGAGATCATCTGGGTACCTGGACGGGAGAGAGAGGCCATCAGACTGCCCGCCCTCGGACCCCTCTTGCAGGTGTGGTAGGTGTGGAGCTGTGAACAGCGCCGGCCCAGGTGGTCAGGTGGTCCGATGCGAGGCGATTGCCCGGCGGGGCAGGTGCTGGCTGTTGGTTGAATTTCTGCAGCGTGAGTCCTGCAGAGGAGCTGCTGCTTGTGTGCGCTGTTTGAGGATTCTCTCCAGTGGGTGTGGGTCTGTAGTCCTGGAATTGGCTGCGTGAGTCAGTCAGTCAGTTGTTCCCCGCGAACTGGCGTGTGCTGGCCGATTGGGATTCGCCGACGGGACTGCTCTGTTGGTTTGGGAATTGTCTGGACTTGGGGACGTCCTGTCGCTCAGACGCCAGCTGCTCTCCTTCCCCCTTTGCAGACGATGGGAAGCTGTCCTTGGAGGAGTTCCAGCTCTTCTTTGCAGATGGCGTCCTCAACGAGACGGAGCTGGAGGGTCTCTTCCACACCATCGACTCCGACAACACCAAGTGAGCGCCCCGGGGTCCCCGCGCTGGAGCCGGCGCCGCGGGCTGGGAGGACGCCCTTCCTTCTGCCCGGCGCCCGCCTCCACTGCCCACCCCCGCAGTCCCCGAACTCCTTCCGGAAGTCAGCGGCCCCCTTGGCAGGCTGGTCTTTTCTGGCACATGTGGCTAAGCCGAGAGGGACCCTAGATTTTGCAGAAATCACACTGGATGGTGAAGGGAAGTTGGCCGCTCCGTCACCTTCTGCTAATTCAGCCCAGTTCTGCCCGGACCTGGTGCCTCTTTCCCGACCCAACACCAACACTGCCATCTTGTTCTCACCGGCTCCCATACAAAACCAAACTCTAACCAGATGCTCATCCTAACTCTGTTTATTTCATTATTATTTTTTAATATATTTTTATTGATTTCAGAGAGGAAGGGAGAGGGAGAGAGAGAGAAACATGATGAGAGAGAGCATCATTGATCAGCTGCCTCCTGCACAGCCCCTACTGGGGATCAAGCCCGCAACCCGGGCATGTGCCCTTGGCCAGAATTGAACCTGGGACCCTTCAGTCTGCAGGCCGATGCTCTACCCACTGAGCCAAACCGGGTGGGGCCTCACTTTATTTCTTTTAGTTATAGTTTACTTTCAGTATTAGTTTGCATAGGTTTCAGGTGCACAGCATAGTGGTTAGGAAATCAGATACTTTACGAAGTGTTCACCCCAACATTTCCAGTACCCAGCTGGCACCATGCATCGTTATCGCAGTATTATTGATTCCATTCCCTGAGCTTCATCGCCCCATAACTCTACTTCTTAACCTGAATCCCACTTCTGACTCATCTAATGAAACCTTCATCAACTCAGTCATAACCCTAACCCACATCTCAGAATCCATCTGAACCTCCTGGCCCACCCATCCCTGAATCAGGAGCAAATGCTGCTTACTCTGCCCCTGCCGCAGCCTTAATCCCACCTTCTCCTTCTCCTTGGGTTCCCGTTCAGCCCACACCCGGTCACCTTCCTCAGGCCTACTTCCGGGGAAGAGGACCAGAGTTCCGGGGGGTGGTGCTTGGGGCAGATTCGATAAGTTGGGGTCCCCTGAGACAGGCCAGAGATGTTGAAACAGGGCGCTGCCCCCAGGCTCATCTGCAGGGGACCCGGCGCTGTGGCAGCCTGGACCAGGGGTTGGGGCTGAGCGTCCTGAAGGCAGAGGCCGGCACCGGGGCAGGTGGAGCCGGTGTCCTGTCCAGGGAAGGCGCCTGGAGGAAACGGCTCCTAGCACAGATAAATAGCTAATTTATCAGCGGTGTCCTGTCCAGGGAAGGCGCCTGGAGGAAATGGCTCCTAGCACAGACTCCAGAGAAGGGCGTGTGTCTGGATCAGGTGCTGTAAATGTAATATTTACACAACACTTTTAACTTCCAGAGAAGGGCGTGTGTCTGGATCAGGTAGGGGTGTCTGAGGGGTCCCTCCCGGCCCGGAGCTTGGCAGGGCTGAGACCCATTGATGACGCATTCTCATCGGGTGCCTCTGTGTTGGGCCAGCCGGGTGGGGAGGAAGAGCTGCAGGTTTTGTGCATTTAACCATGAGAGCACATGAGTGGGGAGCGAGCGAGGAGGTCTCACCTTTGCATTTTCTCCAGGGCTCCCCAGGGGCAGCTGTGGGCATTCCCTCCTGGGGGTGCTGGGTAGGCTCTGTCCAGAACAGTTCCCCCGGGTCAGAAGCTCGGGGAAATGCTAGTTTAAGCACAAGTAAACTGGCTTCCTTTCTGCGGGACCTGTCAGCACTTTTACTAGGACAGAGAAGCAGGGGACCTCCCGGGCAGCGCGCACAGCCTCTGACCCCGGATCTAGTGGTTTGGGCCTGGGCCTTGGCTGAGCCCCATCCCGGTCCCCTCTGCAGGCAGGCGTGTGCAGGCGCCTTTCCCGGAGGCGTGTGGTTGAGCCTGGGTTGGGAGGATTCAGGTTCTAGGCCAGCCCCTCCTCTCGGTGATGAACTGGGGCTCAGAAAGTGAAGGTTTCGAACCTGCACAGACACTCGGGTCCCTGGGTGCCCACCGGGCACAGTCCTGCGTCGCATCTGTGTTCCCAGGCTGCCTCGCTGCCCGCACCTGCACCCGCACCCGCACCCACACCCGCACCCTCGGGGCTGGCCCTCGTGCTCAGCCTCCTCCTGGAAGGGCAGGACCCTTCCCCATCCAGGCTGTAGGAATGGGGTGCAAACCCTGGGGCTTGGGATTTGGGTGAGGACCGGACGCTGGCCCAGGACCAGGCAGGCAGGAGTGCCCAGGGCAGCGTGTTGCAGGAGAGCTGGTCTCAGCCTGTAATGTCATCTCCTCCCTTTCGCCTCCTCCCTTTTCCTGAGCTCCATCCTGGGGCCGTCTGCTCATGATGTGATCAGCAGACTTTCGGGGAGGGAGCAGGGTGGGTGGTGTGGTGAGGGGGTCAGATAGACTGAGGTGCTGATGGAGCCCTGCTTGGGCCTTCGGAGGGGTTGGTGCCATTTACCTGCTGCACCCTCACCTGTGAAGTGGGGCTCGCAATGCCAGGGCATGGAATGAAACACCAGGCATTTTACCAACTCCGTGGGCTGGGCACGCTATGGAGGGAGGGCAGGAGGATGGGACCCGACAGGCCGGCTTCTGAGTCCCCCTTCCCCTGTTCTCTCTCTGCAGCCACGTGGACACCAAGGAGCTGTGTGGTAGGTACCCGTTAGGCAATGCAGGGATCAAGAGGGGTGGAGGGAGGGGACCTGGGGAGCGGGAACAGGGGACACAGGGGATTGGTGAAAGGGGCAGAATCCTCCTGTGACCCCTGACCTTTGCTCTCTCCTACCCCAGATTACTTTGTGGACCACATGGGGGACTATGAGGACGTCTTGGCCTCCCTGGAGACCTTGAACCATTCTGTCCTGAAGGCCATGGGCTACACCAAGAAGGTCAGCAGGTGTGGGTGGCCCTGGGGTTTCAAGCTCTCGTTTCCGATGTTCTCTGGGGCATCTGCACCCACGGGTGCCTGGGTTTGTGAGGACAAGTGTGGGTGGGCCTGGCTCTGGGCGGGCTTTGCTTGGCTCTCCTAGCGGGAGCGGAGGTGCACTGTGAAGTGAGTAGAGCGGCTCCGTGAATGGCCCTGTCCACCCGGTGTCTCGTAGGCGGTTTGGAGGGTGAGACCCGTTCCCAGCATCGGGCGTGGCCCTCGGATGGGGTCCTGGGGAGGGAGCAGCAGGCAGCCCAGCCCTCGCCCGTGGACGAGCATCATAGCTGCCGGGCCTGTGCCTTCTGCAACAGGGTCACGAGAGGGGAAGGGGAAGGGCGGGCTCACGTGTGACCGAGGAATCGGGTGGTGTCTGGTGGAGAACACGTGCCCAGGCCTGAAGCCGTGAGCCGGGCAGAGGGGCCACTGTGAGTGCAGACCCCGCTGTGTCTCCGATTGGCTCCTAAGTCTCTGCCTTTCGTCCTGCCTCCTCGTCTGCGTGTATGAGCTGGAGGAGGATGGGGGCAGGGGGATAAGGCCAGGTGTGGGCTGGGGCTCACTGCGCCTTCTCCACGTAACTCAGAGCCCACCCCACCCCCAACTTCATTTCCTGCCTGAGACTGTACCTCCGCTGGCTGGCGGCTGGCAGAGGGGACGGGTAGGCGTGTTCTTTCTACCTCCACGGAGAAGAGGCGCGGAAACTTCCAAAGGACCCACGATGGCCAGGATTAAACACTCAGTTTAACCCTCACAGCAACCCCATGGGTGGCTGCTCTCACTTCCCCCATTTCACAGCTACAGAAACAGAGGCTCAGAAATGTGAACCCTGCAGAGTGGTAGCCAGACAGCCAGACCTGCTGGCTGAAATGAGAGGGGAAACTGAGTCAGGGACCTGTTAGGAGGTATAGAGCACAGCATGGGACTTCAGGCTGCCGGGGGTGACTGGAGTGCTAGTCAGCCAGGAGTTGGGGCGGCCGCTTGGGTACACTGACCAGGACACACAGGGAGGGAGAGTGGAGCAGGCCAGGCCCTGAGGGACACCTAGACACCAAGGGCTTGCAGCTACCCGTGGGGCCTCAGAAAAGGCCAGCCCCATCTGCTGGGCGGGGACAGGGAGCTAGGCTGATAAAGTCAGCCAGGCCTGCCTGGAGGACCCGGAGCCCAGTCACTTTCCTTTCTGAGCCTCAGTTTCTCCATCTGTGGAATGGGAGCATTCGCTGTGTAGGATCTTTATGAGGACTGCATGAAGTAAGGTCTCCAATTGCTTAGCATAGGGCCTGGCACAGAGCAAAGGTGACTAGTTCTTATTACTAGGCTCCTATTGTATGGCCCAGGCACAGGTAGGACCATGCTGTACATTTTTCAAATGCTGCTCAGTGACGGCTCTGCAGAGGATTAGAGAATCCCTTTCTTCCCGGAGCCCGAAATAGCCAAGCCTCACCCTGAGCCTCCGCCACCCACATCCCAGAGTCATGCTGTTTTGAGTCTTGGTGTTTTAAAGTGTCTTTTAATAACATGTAAAGCCGACTCCTTTTCACTGTTTGCCTTTAGACTGTGTGATATTTGCAAGTATCAAGGTGGGCGGAGGGTTCCAGGGAGCATGGAAAGAGCCCAGACCCCAGAACCCGAGTCACCCAGACAAGGGCGTCGGCCCAGCCCCGCTCCCAACAGGCTGTGGGAGGTTGTGAGGTGCACCCACACCCACACGGGACTCCTGGCTGCACCCACCCCCTCGAGCCCCGGCTTTCTCACGTGTGAGGGGCCAGTTCTTGGCACCGTTGCCAAGAGCCGTTTATAACATTCACAGCTGCCGCTTGGTCTTCGGTCGTAACTTCAGAGCTGTGACCTCGGCCTCCGCTCAGGAGAGGGTTTCCGCGTTCGGGGGCCGGTGTGGGATTTCACTCTCAGAAACCACGCTCTCGTTCAGTGCAGCCCTGGGACGTCTCGGGTGGGGTGACAGCGGGTTGTTGCCGTGGTGACTGGCATTGCTTTTTGTTGCGTGTTTTCTAACCATGTGTGTGCGTAGAAATGCAGCTCATTATTTCGAATGCACCCATGGATGTTAGTTGCCTCGGTGGCTTTTGTCGCTGCGCAGTGGGAGCACCGTTGTGAGCCGCGGGCCCTTCGTTTCTGAGGTGTTCCTGTGTCTCTGTGAGGCCTCTGGCATTTGTCCCAAATCTTAAAACATCCTAATGGCGCTATGTCAGTGATCCTCGTTTTGCTTCTGATTTCCAAGTGCATCTCTCTAGTGTTTCGCCACTAATTATTATATTAATACCAGCTCTTATTCTAGGATCCCCCCAGCCTGCTCAAAAATTATTTCTGCGTTCCCTTCGTTAAATTCCGTCTTCGGAAGTGGTAGTGAATTTTCTGAAATGCCTTTTTTGTCTTTTAAAAATGATATGATGGTGTGCATTTTCTCAAGCTGTTGATGGGGTGGATTCTATTATTAGCTGCTCTCCTATTGAACAGCCCTTAGCTTCCTCTGATAAGCCCTCAACGAGGCATTATTCTGTCACATTGCTGGGTCCTGTCACCAGCTGAGCGTTTATTTCTCTCTATTGGGACTTGAGAATCGAGGATAGTTTGGAAATGAGCTGTAGGTGGCTTTGAATCAGTTTCTCTAACAGAATTACGTTTCTATTCGAAAATAGAATTTATCTCTGAGGCTTGGATCCAGGTACTGAACAGGGGAGGGGATTATTTTAATAGTTATGTTAAGGTCAATTCTAGTTTTAGTTAAATTTTCTTTCCATTGATGTTTTTAGAGAGAGTGGAAGGGAGGGAGGGGGGAAGAGAGAGAAGCATGGATGTTAGAAAGACACGTTGATTGATTGCCTCCCACACACACCCCATCTGGGCTGGGAATCGAGCCTGCGACTGAGGTACACGCCCTTGACTGGAAACCGAACCCATGACCCTTTGGTGCCTGGGCCAGCACTCTAACCACTGAACCACAGCAGAGTAATTTTTTTTTTTTTACTTTTTATATCCACTTTAGTATAGTTTTGAATAAAACTGTCACAAACATGATCCATTTTATGGGAAACTAGAGGCCTGGTGCACGAATTCGTGCATGGGTGGAGTCCAGCTGGCCGGCCCCAATCAAGGCAATCAGGTTGGGCCGGCTGGGGGAAGGGGCCACGGGCAGTTGGCCAGCAGGCCCTGCCTCCTGGTCGAACTCCCAGTTGAGGGGACAATTTGCATGTTAGCCTTTTATTATATAGGATTATGCGTTATATGTTCTTAGAATTTTTTTTTAATCTAAAGCATTGACACAAACTAGACACTTAATGCAGATTAAGTTGAATAAAACATCTGATATAGCTCAGTTCTCGTTTCCATTTTTGTCCTATTTTGCTACATTTTAAAAACTTACATTTGTCAAGTTTTGCTCATTTTCATTAGTCATTTTAATAACCAGCCCGACACATTTATTTTTATTTTTTTAAAAAATATATTTTATTGATTTTTTACAGAGAGGAAGGGAGAGAGATAGAGAGTTAGAAACATCGATGAGAGAGAAACATCGATCAGCTGCCTCCTGCACGTCTCCTACTGGGGATGTGCCCACAACCCAGGTACATGCCCTTGACCGGAATCGAACCCGGGACCCTTCAGTCCACAGGCCAATGCTCTATCCACCGAGCCAAACCAGTTTTGGCCCGACACATTTATTTAAATTTCACAATGTTTTCTGCCATATTTTCAGTTTCTATCATCATTTTTTTCTTTCTCTCCTTTCCTTAGATGTATTGTTGCTATTCTTTTTTACATGTGAACTACAATGCTTAAACTTCTTATTCTAAAGTTTGAATTTAAACATTTACCCTTGAATGATATTTTCACTGCAACCATAGATTTTAATGTTATTCTCTAACAGGCTGCACCCTCACTTATTACTAGGTGTACCGGTTAATAATGGCGGATTTTGTAATCAAAGAAAACACAATAATTTCAAGAGAAACATCAAAAGTGCTTTATTCAAAGTAATGTCCATCACTAGCTACACATTTCCCCATCTTTCAGGTAACTTGTGGATACCGTCCCAATAGAACTTTTCTTGTTTTGAGGCAAACCATTCAGAGACCCAGTTTTTCACTTTGGCCTTGCAGTCGATGTTGATGGTTGACCTGGATCAACCCATGATTTTGTGCATTTGGGATTCTCAAAATAAATAACTTTTCATTGCCAGTCACAATTAGATGCAGAAAAGACTTCCTTTCGTGCCGCTGAAGCAACATTTTACTGATGACTTTTCGGTTTTCCATTTGTCTTTCGTTCAGTTGATGTGGCACCCATTTTCCTTCCTTTAAAATCTTTCCCATTGCTTATAAACGATCAGAAATTGTTTGCTGACCAACGTTTAATCTTTCTGCAAGTTGTTTTTGAGTTTGACACGCATCTTCATCCAATAATGCTTGTAATTGTTGGTCTTCAAACTTTTTCGGTTGACCTGGGCGTTCTTAGTCTTTTACATCGAACTCATCACTTTTAAAGGGTTTAAACCAGCGTTCACAAGTATCTTCAGATGGAGCATGTTCACCATATGCTTCCCGAAGTATATGATAATTTTCAGCAGCACTTTCCTTCAAATGAAAGTAATGAATTAAACTTCCCTCAAATGCTCTTTTTTTGGCATGGAATTCAACATTTTTAAGTGTAAAAATATGTATGATGTTAACACTTCAGAAAATCTGACATATGAAGTTTTGAAGCTTGTTGTCAATACAACAAAATAGCATACATATCAAATCGCATATTTATCAACATATGTGTAACTCCATCTAATGAAAAAAATCAGCATTGTTAACCAGTATACCTAGTGCATGGTGTTTAGATGCCCCTACCAGGGGTCGAACCCGCAGCCTAGGTGTGTGTCCTGACTGGGAATGGAACCCTCTGGTGTATGACGACACTCCAACCTACCGAGCCACCCAGCCAGGTGATGTCTTCATGGCGTAT